CTGCTGTGTAGACCACCATGCTGGCGGCCACTAGCCGCAGGAGCCCCGGGAAACTCCTACAGGTACCATGGAGCAATGCAGCCCAGGACAGGGGACAGGGCTCTGTGCCCTTTCCCAGAGCAGGTGAGGAGAGGGCAGGAGAGAGATCCAGCATGACCGCACCCAGCCAGGACGACACCATGCCAGGGGCTCTCGCCAGGGGCATCTTTTCTTTTCTTTTTTCTTTTTAAAATAGTTATTTATTGGAACCAGAAGTTGGTGTTGTGGCTATGTCACTGGACTCCCATGTAGTCAACTGTGGTTCGAGTCCTGGACCCGGTGGCTTAACCGTGTGCAGGGCACGTGTGTGTGCGTGCCCAAGATCCCGAGAGGAGAATGGAGGAGAAGGGATTGTGGCGTGGCCATCACTTCCCTCTGGGGGGTGATTTTTTGATTTCTGCCTCTCTCTCTGTCTTTCTGCAAGTACATGCTTCCTATAGCAAAAACATCTCAAAAAAAAAAGAAATATTTACTTTATTTTATTTACTATTGTTACTATTTTTTAAACTTGTTATAGTCATTAGAGACAGAAAGAGAGGGAAAGTAAGAAAGCAAGCTGCCAGGTCTGGGACTCGAACCATGGCAGGCCATGTGGGAATCCAGTACCTTAACCACCAAGCCACCTGCTGGCCCAATGACATCTTTTCTAATCCTCACAAAGATATCTACTGGAAAGTCACTATCCCCATTTTGAGGATGAGAAAACGGAGGCTCAGGAAGACCCAGGAATCTATGCTGACTCACTGCATGACAGATTGTTTTTTTCGGGAAGCTCTTATTGTGTGTTTTTATTGCTGGAGGGCATGTGCACTCCTCAGAGAGACAGAGGGAGACAGAGGGAGCACCCCACGGGGAATGGTCACACTGTGACCCCTTGCCCTCCATTCTCCATGCTGGAGGAGCTGGGGCACACACACATGCTCTGTGTGTTTTTCAAGCTGTCAGGGCCAGGATTTGAACCATAGTCAGGCATAGGGGGTCCAGCACCCTTAACCACTAGGCCACA